AAAGAGCTACTGGGTGTACTTTTCGGCGGCGCTGTAGCTCTATTCGTTCACAAGTTATTCGCCGATTTGTCAACAAGTGGCGTAAGAGGCAAAATTTGTCCTTCGATGAACTTTGGTGACCTGACCTTTGACCTAATCTAAGGCTCCCTTAATATCAGCTTCGGGTTACGTTGTTTTTAACGCCCTTTGGAATTTAAGCTCATCCTTCAGGCGTCCATTAAGGGTGTACTTCAACACTGTTAACTGTTAAGACACCCTAGTAACACTCGTAACGGTGTAAAATTGATAACAAACACTGACATTGCAGGGAATGACGCTCACATGTGTGATAAACTGAACACCCACTTTCATCATTGGTGTTATTCAACCTTGTTATTACCAACAATTCATTTAAACTACCAGTGATACATTTGTACCTGACACCCTGTACCCAATGGGGGAATCAATAAGTTGTATGCATACCTATATGATACAGCGTTATGAAATTACACACAGAATGTAGGTTGCAGGGAACAAATGCCACCACATTGCATCGCAAATCAGTCTAGCAGCACGGATTAGAGACTTAAAGGCATCCCAACGCGGCAAGAGCGCTCAAGAACGCTCAACGGGTCAAGACGTCGATTCCGGTAACGAAATCCCGACAAACACGGCCAAGAGCGATGATGGATCAAGCTGGACCCTTGTGAAAAGACGAGCAAACAAGCCAAAGCAGTTTCCCAGTGGAGCCATTCTAGTTGGCGGTGAGAACGTAAGGCGTATCTGCACAGCAGCTAAGGAAGAGTTCAACTTCGGAAGTAATGTCGCATTCTCTTCCTCCCAGCACTCGAGTTCCGCTGATATGAGTCGGCAAATCATCTCCGCGGTAAGAAAAACCAATGCCGACGCAGTGGACGTAGTCATTCATCCGGAAGGAAGAGACGCTGTCGACTCGGAAGCTGACAACATCCTGGAGGGCCTCGCACATACGATCACAACAGCAAAGGGGCGACACAATGTTCGAGACGTTGTTCTCTGCTCGGTGATCGAAAGGAGAGACGTAGGTCAAGTCGCATCGGAAAGAATCAGACTGGTGAATGACCAACTGTCATCCCTGTGTGCTGCCTATGGAGCACGGTTCCTCGATATGCGTACTCGACTGAATGACTGCGCCTACAGGGGAATCAACAGGACTGGCTGCCTGTACACCTGGGAAGGAGCCAGAAACGTTTCGCAGCAAATCATCAGTGAAGTGGTCGGTTTTTTAGATTAGATGATGGGCCCGCCCGTGAGCTGTTGGATGCCAAGCAGTCCCACTCAGCTGACCTGCTCGATGACCAGTGTCTTACGGGACTTCAGCATCAGCGCGCTACCGATGAAGCACCACGCGACAGCATCAACGGTAGGCATAGCGCCGACCGTTCCCTAATCGCTACACGGTCAAAAGGATTTATCATTGGGTCATTGAACATCCAGTCAATGAAACCTAAACTGCTAGAACTGTCGGACCTTCTTCACCAAAATCAAATAGACTTGTTCTGTCTCTGCGAGACCTGGCTGCGACCGGCCACTCCGAGTCGCCTGATTGTCCTGCCAGGCTATAGACTGCACCGTGCCGACCGTCCAGACAACAGCGGGTATGGAGGGGTGGCGCTTGTTGCGAGGGAAGGGCTGACCGTCACTCCGATAAAGGTTTCCTCAGAGACTGTAGCAAGTAGCAAGCTGGAGGCCATGTGGGTAATGGTAAAATGTAATAGCAAGCGACAGATAATAATAGGCACTCTGTACCGCCCTCCAAGGAAAAATGTGGGGGACATTGAGGCTGATTTTTGTGATCTGGACAATCAGTTCCAAAACGTCCTCAGCGCACATCCACACACTAAAATCGTGATTTGTGGTGACTTAAACTGCGATTGGCTAAAACCAAACTCTGATTGTGGCAAAAACGCCCTTAACAACTTTGTCACTGACTATTCACTTGCCCAATGCGTGACTGACGCTACGTACTATACAGGATGCATGTTTATTAATCCCACCCAGAAATGACAAACAAAGCCTCTGATTGGCCAGTTTTGGCTGACAGACGCAGAATATTTGTCAGCAATAGAATACTATGCTTTAGCACGTTTTCGATAATGACGCATCCGTTACATTTACAGGTTAGGGCAGCTAAAATATTGTATTGGATCTAACATGTTAAATATAACATTTTTGGAAGCCCGTACAGATTGTTTCTAGTGAGTTAGGTGTTACAAAGTATTAAAAGAAATGATTGTTATCTGTTGAATAAAGAACAAAAGCTTTTAGCCACTAACATCCGCCTGACAGTCTCCAGAATCCTGCGTACGGGGACACCGCAGTCTCTGTTTCTTATGTTATCGCATTCGCAATGGGGAAAAATTGAAATTTTAAATGACTCAGTATCGTGTTAACCCTCGCCCGCACATGCCATTTTCCCATCCTAGAACGCACATGGGGGGGGTGGTTGCCACCCCCCCCCGCGCCATTTCGTTCCTGTTGGAGATAGAGCTTAGCAGTAAAGACCAAAAAGATTCTTTGGGAAGAGACGAATCCAATGATACCCAGTTTTACCTTCTCAGGTCAGTCATTGACCTTCCAGGTCAGGTCAAACTAAAAAATGTTGCTGTTTTGGGTCACCGTTGGATATCAAGTGCGCTGCTTATCAAATACCGATGACGATGCTGTTTTCTGGTGCCAAGACAGCTAGAACCTCTTTGTCACACTATCCGACCAGAATTTTGCTGCTGAGGTCATTTCAGGTCAAGTTAGGTCAAGGTCAATTATATGTGTTTGTATGTCTGTGTGTGTCTGTGTGTATACTGATGTGTGCACCGATTGTTTTTGGGTCCATATCACATGAAATCATGATCTGAGAAGCTTTTACCAAAAATGCAGTCAAAAAACTTCACAAAAAGTAAATTCAGCTTGCCTAAAACGCAATTATCTTAGATGACCTAGGTTGACCTTGACCCTGACCTTGACCCCTGTACATCGTCGAACAACATGTTCCATGATAGGTGGGAGGTAAGACTGGCAAAAAAGGCCGAAATCAGGGTGTCAAAAGCTCACAAGGCCCATGGCAAACGCAAGATGTTGAGAATTGGCCATTTGGGTCATGACATGACCTGAAAAACAAGGTCATATCTCCGAAACCAAAAATCACAGAAACTTGAAATTTTCAGTGGACATCAAGAAAGGATAGACGAGCAGCTATACGAAAAATCAGCCTTCTAGCTCTAAAAATGTTGAGTGCAGAGCAGAAAGACTGCCTGGGGGGGGTGGCAACCACCCCCCCCATGTGCGGGCGAGGGTTAAGAAGTACTGATGCTTTCAAAACTAAATGCCTTTCAATTCAAATTCCAGAATATCCTTTCGCGGAAATAGCCCTTCTCAGCCTGCCTCTAACGCTACAAGTCTGAACAGTGAGCGTCTCATGCGTTGCTCACGTATCGCGATAAAAAGGACGGTGTCATATAATCAAACGAACTTTTCTTATGCATAGAGCATTTGAAACCTCACACCAAACGCCTCCCTTCCTTGTTTTCCACTGCTGCCTTTCACATACCTTACCTAGTACCTACCCAATGACCGTTCCAGCTCGACGTTCCTTATCGACTGCCTCACATTCAACGACCATATCCCACCTACGCTGAAAACCAATCGGAGGCACTTTCAATCGTCCCTTGAATAAAATTGCTTCCTACACGCATTTAGAGGAGAACGAGGCCCAGAAAAGGCGTGCATAAAACGATCGGTTTCGGCCCCCATGGAATAAGCCAGGAGGTAAAATCATATTGATTGAAGAACATTTTCGAGGACATGATATCTATCAGATATTATTTTGCAAAGGTATTGTGAACATAACGTCCGCGTATCGCAGCTCTGAATCTGCTGGTGTCAGTCCCATGCAGCAGCCACCGGACCACCGCCCCGCCGCCTGCCGTTCGCTGATCATACAGGCCGGCTGTCCCAGTGTCTCATCAAACGATCACAGCTGACTCATTATTTATAAAATGCCAAACAAAAACAGACACCCAATATTATAGATCACGCCAGCTCTTTCAGTCATGCGCGTGTAGATATATCGGTAGTTTTCCTATCACAGTGAGATCACACTGAACAGAGGAAAAGCGTACACACGCAGCAATAAATAATGCATTATCAAGTACACCGATCGATGCATCGTGGAATACACCGAAAAAATACATCACTGCTTTAACGTTCCCCAGGTGGGTGGGCCGTGGGGGCGTTTTTGGCCACACCTGACAATTTTGTGCTTGCATAGATAAAACGACACGAAACTTAGTGTAGCTTATGTATAATGCATCGATTCGCATCAATTGTGAAAAAAGTAACCCCATGTCACCTAAGGTCAGGTCAGGTCACCATGAAGTAGAAATTTGAAACTCGAGCTATTGCATGAGAGAATCAGTACCAACATCTTGAATATCTTTAATTTTGATATCGGTGGTGACCTAGGGTCAGGTCAACTTTGCGACGTCTCCAGTTTCAGTCAGTATGAGGAACTCGAAATGTTCTGCTTTTGAAACAAAAGCACTCAAACATCGGGATCTATCGTATGCTCCTGAGGTCATCTCAGGTCATGTAACGCCTCCCAACAGTTTATTTTTGTACATCGATTTTAGATGGAACGTGGCCAGAGCGCTAAAAGCATCATAATCATAGGCGGCGGAACAGGCCGAGGGCACCGGGGCACCGTGCCCCCTTTGATTTTGGCATTTTAACATTAGCCCTATGGGCGTTGCATGGAAAGAATGAGACCAAAAGTCGGCAATGCCCCCTTAATTGAAGGTGTTCCGCCGCTACTGATGTTAATCTCAATTTCAATGTAACGAATCAATGACATGCAAAATGGCATTTTCTGCGACATTGACCTGAGGTCAAATTTATTAAGCTGACCTTGTTAGGCCAAGAAGACGAGAGAAACGCAGTGCCGGTAAAATCAACGTAATAAAAGGTTGGTATCAGTTAAAAAAATTAAAGAAAAGACGACTTCCGAAGCAAGCCGATTGTTCAGTTTTTGCCCTTTGGAGGCTTAACCCTAGTTGACCTTAGCTCAAATCTGAGAACCTGAAAGATTTTCGAAAGAGCTATCGAATTCGCTTTTCCGCGGCGCTGTAGCTTCTTTCGTTCCCGAATTATGAACCAATTTGTGAAGTTGTCAAAATCGGGGGCCAAAATTCGTCATCATTTTACTTTTGGTGACCTCCAGTGACCTCAGCGATGACCTGATCAAAAATGACCTGTATGATTCTGAAGAAAAATAGCGATCTATAGATTGATTTTACTGCGTCTTTCCAGCTTTGCTACATTCCAAGATAACCTGGTGTGGCCGAATACACCTCCCCCCCCCACCAAATTGGCTGAGGGCCACCCGGGCGTGGGTTAATAACATGGCGCAACAGGTTTTGTTATCAACTTGTCCTTTTCACACATAGGCGACACTAGATATCACAGCCAACGCCTATCACCAAACTGGTGGTGGGCTTTGGCCAGCGATCGCCGATCGGGGCCAACGCGGGCTCTTACTCGTCCACAATCAGCAAGAATGATGAATTACAGCTGCTCCAGACCGGCCACTTCAATCCAGCGTGTAATCTTCAGTCCACATCAGAACCACTAGTGAAACTCTACTGAGTGGGTCAACTGCACTGCATCTTTGACCTCCTTTGCAGCTCTGGCTTTTCAGAATTTGAACAGCCTTCTCTTTCCCACCCTTCTGTGCTGATGAATGATGATCCTTTGGAAACCTGGAAAAAGACAGTACAGACTCAGGGAGATGAAACTGTTTTGCTATGGGTCTGTTCCAGTCGCACTTCCTAACACATCTAAACTCCTCAAAGAGCAAGATAGAGGAGGTTGGAGCAGGGCCCTTCTTGGCTTTGTAGGGGCGAAAGCTGCCACTGGAACAGGGAAGCAATCTTGGAGGAGTTAAGAGGTGTTAGGAAGTGCGACTGGAACAGACCCTATGACAATGTCTGTGCATAGAGCAAGCAGAGCCAGATGGTAGAAGTGGTCAATTGGTGAGTGGAACAAATGCAAATGTCAGGAAAGCAGTCATATTTTGTGATAGACATGATGCAGATGTTGGCCAAGCTGACAAGGCAGATATAATTACCAGCTTGTTATACTAGTCTATAACTCATCATATTTTCATGTTTAACAGAGGGAATATAATGTAAAAAAAGCCTTAGCCAGATGAAAGTAGATAATATAAGTTCTATAGAAAAATGTTTATGTAAGTAATGTAGGATTTGTGGTTTTTAGAGGCTAGGTAAATGTGTTCCCTGTTCAACAATTCTTCAGCATTCAGACATTGATGTCAATGTACAATGTACATGCATCAACATACCTGTTGTGAAGTGATTCTGGGCTGCTTTCCTGAGCAGTTGATGGCCACCACTGGAATCTTAAAAACACAGCTAATTTTTCCATTTTGTTAACTATGACTGAGGATCTTCTGTGCTGAAAGAGAGATAGACAATAGACATCAGCTGATAGACATTGTAGAATGTACAACTCATTTGTGAAACAAGATCAATTCCATTTAGGGGTAGGTCGTAGGATAATGGTGACATGAATGAATTTCAGTTTTCACTTTTCACCAGTCCAGGTACCTGGTGACAAAATGAAATATTGTAGGAGGTATCAATGATAATGTTTCTGGTAGAAAATGCAGGCATTTTAGAATTCAGTTGAAGCTTTAGATGGAGGATTTTTGGAAAATATTTGCCACCAATAACACTGGAATCTCAGAAACAAAAATCAAATCTTACTTGATGTCAAAAACAAATCAAACTATTACCATTGAGCACCAAGCAGCATGCTGAGTAGTCATTTATTAAGACATATGCATGTTACACATGGCTACAGTACTTTGAAATAGCTTTTATAAAATGTATGCACTCATGTAATCTTAGCATGTAAAATGTCAGCTAAAATTTGTTTTACACTAAACCTGCTAAGCCAAGAAAAAAAAGATAAATATGAGAAGCCCAAAACAAGTTATTGAAAATATAAACACAGGTAATGTTACGACAATGAACAAAACTGAGTCAAAACACTCAAAACTAAGTGTTTCAATGAACGCAAGATTAATGCGTGTCACAGAAGCAGCTGTCCACTGTAAAGCAGAGTGGGCACAGCATGGTGAAAGCAGGAAGTGGTGCACAAAACTGAATTAAGAAGAGTTCCCGACTAACTGTATCTACATCCCTTTACATGTAGGTACTTACAAAATTTGAGCACAATCAGCCAAAACTTAACTGTGAAGGAGGCCATGCCCACTCGCACATGAGAGGTGTGCAAAAACATGCCTGTAATACCTTATGCCTAGATACATAAAGATGAAAATGTGTTGTGTCTGTGTGCCTGGTTAGTGGCATGACGTGACATGACTATTATCAATACCTGACAGTACAATTATCATGATATTATCATTATTGCAATTGTAAAAAAATGATCAATTGAACATTTCTTCTCGCTTTATATAGCCAAAATACCTGAGATTTTTTAATATCAAGTTTGCGTACTCCCAAATCGTAACTTCTGCTTCCTCCAGTACTTTATAAGTTTGCGCAAGACTATTATCCATTAGATGTAGGGACGATCATGACCACTTGACTAAAAAATGGTTCACTTGGTTCTTACAAGCCTGTTAACTCACTACACAAGGGGAGGGGGCACTGCAAAACGGTGTGGAAATCGCCACATTTGTCTCATGATGTTTGATGCATAATAATCGGTATCAAAATATCGTCGTATTAGTATGCAAGGTCACCAAAGAATGAGCCAACGTTATTTATCAAATATCAATGCAAATTGGCAATATCTAGCACAACGAAACACATAATTCAACACCTAACGATGCCGGCCGAGACCCCAATACCACCATGGCGACCGCTCAAGTCCAACTGGCCGGCAACTGGCCAATCAGGGAGCTTGTTTGTCATTTCTGGGTGGGATTAAAAAACATGCATACAGGATCGCTGCTTGATGTCTTGCTTACAACTTGTCCCCAAGTGGTTATGCAATGTCATACGAGGTTCTGTCATTTTAGTCCTCATAAGATTGTTCTTGCTTGTATCAGTATTCCCCGTGTCCGAAAGCCTCGTCGTATTATCAGATCACGCTGTCTTCGACGCATTGACTTGCAGGCATTTGTGCTTGACCTCTCCCTTGCATGGGTGGAGCTTTTCCAGGGAAGTTGGTGGGGCAAAAAGTCGTCAAACCTACAATGCCTGATTGTCAAGTTGAATAAAATGCAAGAATGGAACAATTGCTATCGTCACAAAAATAATACATTGCATTACACTGACATTTCAAAAATCCTCAATGTGAAAAAGATGGTTTTGCAAAGCAGTAACGTCCTACAAATGAGTTTAAGTTGGTGGGGCAAAACGCTTATTGGTGGGGCAGCCGCCCCACCAACTGTATAGGAAGCTCCACCCCTGCTCCCTTGCAAATTGGGAATCAGTGTTAACCGCGTCTACCGTCAGCCTCAAATGGGAGCGCTTTCTTGCTCTCTTTTTGCACATTCTTGATATTCACGCTCCGATGAGAGCTATTCGCATACGAAATTCGAATGCACCTCCAGTTAGTGATCAGACGAAACAGCTAATGACTCGCCGTCGAGTGGCACTAAACGCCGGCAGTCACAGCTCGGCCGAGTATAAGGCATTGAACCGGTCAGTACGGTCAGCCATCAGACGTGATAGACGCCTTGACATTAACCCGCGCACCGACGGGGGTCTGCGCCAACTTAGTACCGACGGGGGGGGGGCGGATGACCGCCCCCCCCCTGAGATCTCGAGAACGAAGCAAGATAGCGACAAGCGGTAAACGGCATCGGATACGCACGGTCAAGATCTACAATTTTTACTAAGGTCATTTTCAGGTCAGGTCAAAGATGACGTCACAGGGGTCGAAAAAGTCAAAATGGCGGCGCTAAATATGGAGAGAGTTTTTCTCGAATAACTTTCGAATTAGTCAAAATAGGAACAAACTAAGGGCATCATCGTGATCCTCTCGTCAATCCGCATCGAATGATATATATGTTGACCTCGAAAGGTCAAGGTCAAAGGTTGACCTCAGGTCACGTGACCTCGAGGTCATCATGTATATCATTCGATGCGTCTTGACGAGCTGAACACAATGAGACCATCCACGCGGCTGTATCTTGTTCCTGTACGGAGTTATTGGCCAAAAACCTTTGGTGACCTTTGATGACGTCACATGACCTCACAGCTGCCCAACAGCAAAACAGACCTCAAGGTAGTGAAGGTTGATCGTATATGAAGTCATGTATGGTATATGGGGCCATTCCGACCCGTTTTAGTGGTAAAAACAGGGAGTTGATTTTTCCCCCATTGACTTATAATGGGGAGGTCGCGAAATTGACCTGACCTTAGGTCACCGATATCAAAATTCCGAGATATACAAATTGTAGCTACTAATGACCTTATAACATCCTGCGACTTTCAAAGGCCTCCGACATCTACTGTAGCTCTGGCACGGTGACAAAGTTGCAAAAAAGTGACTTGAGGTTGGGTCATTCAAAGTGACCTGGTGACCTGACCTTGAAAGGTAGGAGGTTCAAACTTGCACACCATGTGTAAAATTGATGAGGGAATAGTCATACCAAATTTCGCGGCGCTACGCGCCGCGGTTTTCCCGCTATTCGCGAAAAACCTCAGGGGGGGGGCGGATATCCGCCCCCCCCCCCCGTCGGTGCGCGGGTTAAACAACGCATCTGCGACCAGGGTCCCCATTCCACTTGGCGGGAAATTAGATCTGTTGTGAGCTCTAAAAAAGCTGAACGCATACTACCCGACCTGACGGCCGATCAGCTTAACGAGTATTTTGTTAGTGTGGGCCCTCGTGTGGCCAACGAGGTGAGGAATGAGGGGCCGGCCACTGACATACCATGCCGTTTACCTCGAGTCGGGGCTTGCGCCTTCAAACCAAGTTTATTAACACTTTCTGAGCTGAGAGATATTGTTTTTCATATGAATGGATCAAACGCATGTGGCCAAGATGGCATCAATATTCAAATGATCCGCATGGCTTTCGATCAATCGGCTATGTGCTTCTTCATTTAGTTAACTCTAGCATTTCCCTTTCCGAGGTGCCATCCTCTTGGAAACACTCTCTTGTTTTTCCTGTTTATAAATCTGGAGAGTCGTCAAAGCCTTGTAATTACCGGCCGATTTCGATAGTTCCCGTCATCGCAAAAATTGTTGAACGCGCTGTTCACCAACAAGTGTACAGGTACCTGTCTTATAACCATCTTCTTTCTCCCTCGCAACACGGCTTTCGTCCACGGCACTCAACCGAAACAGCTCTCCTTACCATTTCTGATCACATCCTTTCTGCTAACGACAAGGGAGAATTTTCACTTCTCTGCACGCTCGACTTAAGTAAATGCTTTGACGTGATTGATCACTCTAAACTTCTAACAAAGCTGCAGTTGCATGGGATCGAAATTTCCTGGTTTTCTAGCTACCTCTGTGGTCACACTCAAAGTGTTCGTTTTACCGACAGCAAAGGAATTGTCCAGTGTTCCAAACCCCTCCCTAATGATATCGGTGTATTCCAGGGCTCGGCCTTAGGTCCACTTCTGTATTGTATTTTTGCTAATGATCTAAGTTTGTTTGCTGAAGATGCAGTGATTGTTCAGTATGCGGATGACACGCAGATTTTAGTCAGTGGCAGAAAAGACGAATTCGAAAAAGTAACCTGCAAATTAGAACGAATACTAGAATGCATAGGGCTGTGGTTTCGTGCCAACGGACTCAAACTAAACGCTGGTAAAACACAGTTGATGCTACTTGGAAGTCCTAAGAACATGCGCGATCCCCCTAATGGCACTGTTAGATTTCATGGTTGTACTCTGATTCCCGTCTCGGAGACCAGAAACCTTGGAGTCCAGTTTGACTGTACTCTCAGCTGGGATGCGCACGTCTCATCAATCGCTCAGCGTTGTTTTGGTATCCTCATCGGATTAGCGCAACTGAGGGGTCACCTGCCGCCGTCAGTAATCTCGATACTGGTTGATGCGTTAGTCATTTCACATATCCGTTATTGTTTGTCTGTTTATGGTAATGGTACACGCAAAAATATTAATCGCATCCAAAAAGTCATAAACTATGCGGCTAAAGTCATTTTTGGACGCAAGAAATTTGATCACGTGTCTGACTTATTACATAAATTAGGCTGGCTTAAAGCCAGTGAGCTTGTCGAGTACCATACTCTGTGTATGGCTCACAAAGTGCGTCGCACGGGAGTGCCTAAAACGCTTGCCGACAACCTCATTTTGAGGTCGGACATTCGCGACCGCGATACTAGGCAGAATAACAATCTGCAGGTACCTATGTCCAGTACAGAAATGGGCCGGAGACGTTTTTGTAGTCGCGCACCCCGACAATATAATACTCTGCCTCATGATCTGACACTACTGCCAATACCAACGTTTGCTAGCAAGTTAGTGAGCCATATATGTGACCGACCTGTACAGACATAATCTAAATACCTGCGTTCTTGATGACATGTATGTTAGTGTACTTGAATGTGGCTGTGAACATCTCGAACAACCATCCCATTGTATGTTACATTCAACGTGCAACCTGCAATTTAATTGTTAGCAATTATTATAATCATTTTTCGTTATGTTGATTAAGGCTGCGGCATTTGTGTTGTGCTCACTATGTATGATGTGATGACGCCACTGTTTTTCGCTGTTACCGATCCTTTTGGAACTGTAATAGCCCCAAGTCGATTGGGGAAAGTTCCGAAACAATGTGAATACATGTTTTTTTTTATGGATACGCGGAGCATAATAGAAATAAGCAGAATCCAACCCCCTCCCCCTCTCCAGTGGGGTTACGAATTCGGATAAATACCCAAGCAGGGTGCGTGTTAAATTGCACACCAACACAAGAGGAAAAAATCTGAGGATATATATTTTTCGGATATTAAAGAACCCCTATCGGGAGTATGCCGCCATCCCCCCCCCCCCAGCGGCCAGTACCATGTCTTTCGGAATTCGCAGCAGTGCCATTGCTAGCCAAGAATAGCTCACCTTTGCTAAAACTGGAGCTCTTCGAGTACCAAGACACCACTCACGATCACTTCTAACTCACTTGCACACACTTATACTCCCAACACACCGTAATCCCACCAGCGCCTCCGCCCGCAGTCGCGCACGTTTCAAACTAGTATGGCGGCCGGCCGCATGGAAGCCAACGGTTGAACATGGGCTACTAGGGCTGCATTATGTTCCCAATATTTTCCCGACGCGTTTTCTTTGAAGTATTGTATATGAATTTATTTATTTATTATCGTGGATTTGTTTATTTGATGTAGTTGAAGCAAATCCATTAGAATATAAATGCAAACTCAGTACACCATACAGCACAGCAGCGCCATCTACCCAACTGCACCCATAGGAAATTTCAAGGGTGTCTGACACTGCAAAGACAGGCTGACGAAGAAAGACGAACGTCTTTCGAAAGCTCCCGTAACTAATAAACGAAGCTGGTAATTTGAATATTTGTATGCTAGAATGTCTCTGTCCCAGCTAAACAATAACATTTATAACTACATGAAGTACCAAGAGAATACGAACGGTGTTAGTCATCCCCTGGCTCAGACCCCCTACGGCTCAGACCCCTACGATAATACTAGCTAACACTTACATTTCATAACACTTCAATACCTACATTGTGATGTGATGTGATATGATACCTATCATTGTGTTCTTTCAAGTGTCACTGACACCTTCAACGCTGTTTAAGTGATGACATGACACTTTCAATACCTACACCCAGAGGGTGTTTTGTTTTCTCTTTGACACCAGCAAAAGAAGTGTTGAATGGGATCGACACTTCGATTGGGTACATCCCAAGTGTGCTTTTCAAGTGTCGTGTGACACCTTAAACGGTGTTTAAGGGATGACATGGCACACTCAGTACACCTAACGGGTGTTATGTTTTCTCTGTAACACCAAAAAAGGTGTTGGATGGGAGTTGAGACACCTCGATTACACCCCAAGTGTGTTATTTCAAGTGTCATGTGACACCTTAAACGGTGTTCAAGCAATGTCATTACACCAATAACGGTGTTCAACGGGGTAATGACACTGCTATGAGTGTTGAATGGGAGTTACGACACCTCGATTACATCCCAGGTGTGCTCTTTCAAGTGTCGTGTGACACCTTAAACGGTGTTTAAGTGATGACATGACACTTTCAATACACCCAGAGGGTGTTTTGTTTTCTCTTTGACACCAAAAGGAGTGTTGAATGGGAGCTACGACACTTCGAGTACATCCCAAGTGTGCTTTTCAAGTGTCGTGTGACACCTTAAACGGTGTTTAAGGGATGACATGGCACCCTCAGTACACCTAACGGGTGTTATGTTTTCTCTGTAACACCAAAAAAGGTGTTAGATGGGAGTTGAGACACCTCGATTACACCCCAAGTGTGTTATTTCAAGTGTCATGTGACACCTTAAACCGTGTTCAAGCAATGCCATTACACCAATAACGGTGTTGAACGGGGTAATGACACTGCTATTAGTGTCATGATACACCATTAATGGTGCTTAACACCCATAATACACTGATAAAACACCCGACCAGTGTTTTATATTTTTTCAGTGCAGCATTACAACCGACAGCCAGGCACCAATGGTTACGCTGGCTGTCCATTTACTACAATGAGTACAGCACACTAGGCTTATTTCTTTAACCCTCGCCCTGGCAGGGCATTTTTCATAACACGGCCTGGCAGGGGGGGGGGGGGGGGGGTCGATGCGACCCCCCCTCGCGATTGGCTCCTATGGCACCTAGAAACACCAAATTTGGTAGGTAGGTGGGCCCCCAGGAGTTCTCACTCCTGTGCAAATTTGGTTGCTCTAGGTCAATATTTAGGGGGGGTTTTGGGGGGTATAAATGTAAAAATTTCGCTAAAAACAGGGCAAAAGTTTTTCGCTTATAACTTTTGATCTAATTAAGATAGAGCAAAAAGAGAAGCACCAGTGAACTAAGCACGTCAAGACGCGTCGAATGATGTACTTTTTAGCTTGCTTAACCCGCGCCCCGTTGGGCTCTGCCGAGCAACGCGCCCGGTTGGGGGGGGGCCATTTTGGCCCCCCCCTAAGATCTCGAGAACCACGCAACATAGCGACAAGCGGTAAACGGCGTTGGATAGCCCCAACGGGGAACTACCTTGTGACCCAATTTTATTGACCTAGGTCAAACCGATGACGTCACAGGTCAGGTCAAAGGTCCAATTTTCACCGTTTACAGGCACTTCAAGAAATGCGTTGTAAAATCGAGTAAAATGCATTTCATTGAAAATCATCGATGGGGAAATGTTCTTCAAACACATATTTTGCTATTTGAGGTCACTGATACCAGGTCAGGTCACAGAGGTCAGGTCACGGGGGGGTCACAATATGAAAGTGTCGTGTGATACATGTTTTATGGTCCATTTTACATGAAAAATGCGATTATATGGGTCAGGCAGCCTTTGGGGCCAGCTTAGATCACGTTTTGGTCAAGGTCAGGTCAAGGTCAGGTCAAGGTCAGGTCAAATTAGGTCAAATTTCAAAGTTAATATTTTTGCATAAAATGGGTATTGAATCGATGCAGCTCGTCACGGGGAGTTCAATGGTGGTCTTTGTTTTGCCGTACGAGGTCTAGAATTGCTAAAAATTGAGTTCAAAAATTTGACGTCATCATTTTTGAACAGTTTTTTCGCTATAACTTGGCCAAAAAACGAGATATCGATCTGAAATTTGGTATGTATATAGAAGAGCGCTGGGACTATCACATATATTCCGGTTTTTTCGAAATTCGGAAAATTTTTGGATTTTTTCAAAGTTTTTCTAAAAAAATCAATTTTTTGATTTTTTTTGGGTCAAAAACCAAAAATTTTGAAAATCCGAGACAGCAGTTTTGTAGCGCCGCCTTTTGTCTACTAGACCATATAAAGAACTTTGAAATTGCTTGATAACTGTAGATTTGGTGAGCGTTTCAAGATTGCATGTTTTTTGCTCATTTTTGCTCGAACATGACCTCAGTTTGACCTCAATAACTCCTGACCTAAGGTGACCTAAGACTTGAAATTTGGTGTGAAGGTGTCAAATTGATGCCCGGGAAGGTACTGAAAATTTGGCGGCGCTGCGCGCCGCCGTTTTCTTGCTATTCAGGAAAAACCACAGGGGGGGGGGCCAAAATGCCCCCCCCCCAACGGGGCGAGGGTTAAGTGTACTTAAAGTTTTTCTTAAATTTTAAGTAAACTTAAATTAATAAATTAAGTTCAAGTTAACCAAATTGCATCATATCGCATATCATTCGATTCGGCTGATCACCAGGAACACAATGATACCATTTTTTAAGCTCTAGCGTCAATATGTGCCAAGTTATTGGCAAAAACGTCATTTGACCTCAGTTGACCTCATATGACCTGACCCATGGATAAGTACACCAAACAAAGAAGCAACAAGTGACCTGCTGTTAAGTACTGTGGTTTCAAAGCACAAAAGTGATAGAACAAAGCGGATATCTCCAGTATTTTCCGAATTTAGTATTTTCCCATAGGCTTAACATTACGACGTAATGACCTCTAACTGACCTCAGGTCAGTGACCTCAAAAAACCCGAACTATATGTTATACAACTCGGTGAACTTAGCACATCCTGAAAGTTTGAAGGAAATCAGTCAAAAACTGTGAGTTGGACGGGTGCAAAAAGAAAATTGAAATTTGACCATGACCTTGTACCGGTTTTTCTGACCTGGTGACCTGACCCAAGGTCACTCGGACCTGAAATTTTCAGGTCATATGTAAAAAGGTTGCCCCATAGGCTGTGCCAAATTTAGCGGCGCTGCGCGCCGCCGTTTTTACGCTATCTTCGAAAAACCTTAGGGGGGGGTCGCATCGACCCCCCCCCCCTGCCAGGGCGAGGGTTAACATCTTTGCTCAATCAAACGTTATACAAAGCTAAGCAACACAGCCAATAACCTCCAGTTGGGTTCAATTTACACTATCAGCCAAATAGTCACTTTTCATATTGTGGGTGTAATTGCAAACATGCACACAGTAGGGCGAAAACACAAAAAGACAACGATATATCCGACATGCATATTGCACAATGCAAATCCCCAACAGCCAGTGGTGTCACACAGGTCAGATTCATGCTTAAAAATGATGCCACTATGCTGTTTATATCAGTTGTGACGTCACATCAGCGTCATGTGTTCATCTCGACCCGTTGAGAGAGTGTGACAGCGGCTTCGAGAGGCCGGTGGCGCCGTGCCGTCTGTTGTGGGACTGATCAGAGGCGCTGGGTGGCGCCGTCACTTACCTGGGACCCCGAACCTCAGTGTTCTCGGCGTGTTGTCATCGCGTTTCCCCAGGTCTGCCCGGACCAGGGCGTCCAGGACCGTCTGACTGAGCTCCTCCGTTGCTTGGAAATTCAGCCACACCAGTTTCCGACAGCTGACCACCAGTCTGCGACAGAACAGGACACAGGCCAATCAGCGACACCAGCCGGCCGACCGGCCGTCTGGAAGGGACGGGTCCGGTCTCCACAGGGCCAGTTCAAGTCCGGTCCGGTCAGTGGTCCCGGTGAGGGTCCGGCCCTGATGTGCCAGCTAATAGATATAGTGCTAACTACTATTGGTCTGTATGCTCGTTATAGTGACAATAGCCGTTTTCACGACGGGCTATCCGGCGAATGCACCTAGTTTGACCAAATCTGCAACTAATCTCTTTATCAGCGAATATCTCCATGTTATGAATTTATTTCAGTGTTTAAATTGATAATACTCTCTGATAGTATGACAAAGCAGACATATAAGCAATTAGTGCAACCCTAGAGCTGATAGCTTCTAAGAGATACACTGAACCTAATTTGACCAAATCTGCACCTAATATGCACCAAATGTGCACCAAATGTGTACCAGATGGCCGTCATGACAAGTAAAACGGCTAATACATACCAAAACCAAGGCTCGAAGCACAATGCATTGTAACAGTGAACACACTACGAGTACACATGCAGACAAGCGGTGGCATGCATTGGTCCCGTCTAGCTAGAACTGGTCTGAGTCTGGTGTGGTCTGGTTCTGGTCTAGGCCTGGTCTGGGTCTGGGTCTGGGGCCTGATCTGGGTCTGGTCTGGGTCTAGTCTTGGTCTGGTCTGGGTCTGGTCTGTGTCTGGTCTGGATTTGGTCTGGGTCTGGTCTGGGTCTGGCCTGGGTCTGGTCTGAGTGTACAGCTGGCTGACCTGCTGACCGCTGTGACCGGTATATCCGTACAGAGTACAGTGGGCGTTCCCAGCTGCATTATACGCAGCTGGGAGCAGCCGTGGAGGGCGGCCAGTGAGGCGTCAGTGATGGCGCCGGACAGAGTGCCGTTAAACGTGACATCTTCCAGGCCGGTGAGGGCGGACAGCAGCCTCTGTAGGGCCCCGGCAGTGACACGCGGGCAGTCTGGGAAACACAGACACATACAGACATGGTAGGTGAACGGTGTGGGAGCTGCTACGCTACTCGCTAGCACGTGCTGAGACATAGACAGGTATGACACTACATGCTGCATACGAGCTAACTGTTACTAACTTACTAACATACGACTAACTGTAGCCAGGTATGACACTACATGCTGCATACGAGCTAACTGTTAATATTGAGCAGTAAATAGTGATAATGAACACATTTAATATTATTTGTTTGTATGTATATTTGTGTATATGTAAGTACGTATGCATGTGTGTATGTAGGTACAACTACTTATGTATGTATCTGCAAAGAAGTAGCTATACACGCATGCATGTATACCTATATGTATATGCATTCTGTGTACAAGTAATGATGCCAACTAATGAAGAACTGCCAAGCAGAAAATGAAACAACACATCCATATATGGTGATTGGTGATTGGTTATGCATTTATATGGAGCACTCACCACAGGTCGCCAACACCATGTTGGCGACAACACTTCCACACACACCACGGAAATGAATATCGACGTATCCGGCATATCCGTCATTCACATATATAATATACCAAATATACCAGCAAAAAGTATCTGACATGACAATTACTCTGGTCGCAGTCCCTGTTTCACCTCTCCCCGAACGGTGTTGCCGTGCTTAGTTAGGTATATGGTGTTTGTCAGTATACCTAACCACTCATACCGATAACCCGTCCGTGCCACCGCCACTCACAGAACATGTTCAGCCCGGTAACCCGTGGTCCCAGCTCCGTGGCCATCTGGCTGATGACGTCATCTCCCGCCTGCATTATGACGACCACCAGCCCATGGTCAGGCTGTCTTCCATTTCCCAGTCTCGCCGGCTTCCCCGTCTCCCCCGGTCCTGTCGGAGAGAGAGCCGCGTCAGCTGACTGCAGTCGGACGGAGCTGCCGCCGGGTCGGGAGGCCGCTGACACTATGGTATGTAACAATGATACAGCCGATACTGACACAGACACAGCCGACTCGTCACTGATAGGAATGAGTTTGGCAATGTCTGCTGTATACAAGCACACATATTGTTATACCTACATAGCTCAGCATGGACCATGAACTATGAACAATAGAGATTGAACACTATCGACGATGCTGTCAAAACTATCTGTATTGGATGTCAGGCCATGATCAACATTACGCGTCGGTTTCCTATGATCATTTGTAGAGCATGTGTTCTTCAAAACAACGTCTATCATAATTTTGACCAGAGTTACAATGAATACGCATTACACATTTTACTGTGATGATGCCACTGCCCGCTAAAACACTGTTTTTGTGTGTAGATTAATATTACATTGCATATGGTATCGGACCGGCTAAACATTACAGCCCACATGCATGGGCTGCAATCGCAATACCTACAAAGCGCTGTCCTCACCACACAGCAGTGTGATTAGGTACAAGTTTCATCGATGACATCTCACCGTAAACGTCCAGGCGCCTCAAGGACGGCGGCAGCAGCTGCAGCCACCGTCCCGTCGAGTCAGGAGGAGTGGAGACCGTGAGCTCCTTCAATGTTTGGACTTGGAGGGACTCCAAAATCGCGATCACCTGTAGCTCTGCAAGACCAGGTGGAAATGTAAACTGCTTCAACTGCTTCACAGTTGAGAGTTCCTGCTTCTGGACTGTGACTACACTGGCCGCAGGGAATTGGCTCGATGTCCGCTTCGAGACGTCACTGGCCGCCGGCGACTGGAGCCCTCTCTGTGCTGTGTCGTTGATGCTGGTTTCTGTAGATGGACTGCAAAAGCAAACGAGAATAACGTCGAAGGCTCATACATAAAACTCGCACCTAGATTGATAGGGAGCGGTCAGGTGAACCCAATCGGTTTTTGACAAATAACTATAGTTCGTTTATTTCAAGTTTGCCCCTCACTGTAAACATTTTTTTTTTTAACACAGCACGAAAATTGCTGGCTGAATTACTGAGACATCTAGTTGATGCACATTGAATTAAACAGACGATCAACTGTATCAAAATTATTTCTACCTGGCGACTCGTAGCTCGTATTTGCCCTTATTTACAACCCCCCCCCCCCCCCCCCCGGGATAGACGACTTCTCAGGAATTATAACTGAACTAATAAATTAATCACACGGCGTGTAACATAACAGGGCCTCGGCTAACATACTGGGGCAAATGCCCCTACTGTACCTAATTCCTTGACTCTACTGGGGCAAATGCCCCAGTAGAGTCAAGGAATGCCCCAGTAGTGGTCAGGCTTTGCCCAACATTCACAAAATGATCATATCTTAAGTCTTAACACCTACCCTAAAAAATTCATGACCCTGATCCACCATGACCTTTCATGACCTTTATGACCTTTCACCAGTGACCTAATTTTTGAGACCATGTTTGGCCAGGATCGCGATTCGGCGTATGTCGGCTCGCATTAGCCGCGCGTTTGCAGTCTTTTCATGGTTTCAAGCGTTCATACATGGGATATCGTGTTCCTCCCATGCATTAGGGTGAGTGTCAATGTCACCGGAAGGTCAGGTCAGGTCATTGACCTTTGATGACTTCGGTTGGTGCCTTCGTAACATGTTACGAATCTGTCAGAGGCGGTTGCCACCTACTATGAATACCCGGCAAAACCCTTACTGGTTAGTGGTTATCCTGACCTGACCAGACCTGGCCTAAATGTATGAAGACACCCTCTATGATCATAACCCGCGAGTTGCTGGGGGGGGGGGCGTTAAACGCCCCCACTTTTTTCGCCGGGCCATGGCATAAAAACGGCGCGCCGCAGGCGCGCCAAATTTTGGGTACCTGTAGGGAATTGATTGAAGTTTATTGTGACAAAGTTTCAAAAAAAAAATCGGTCGGAAAATTTTTTGAGATATCGAGGTTTTAGTGACGTCATGATTTCTGAGTTTTCGACCAAAAACGGTATATGTTCAAAAAATCATATAAAATCACAGAATAGACATACAGACATGCCGTAAACGCCATTAGACTGCCAATACCATGATCAATCAAATGGCTATCTTCGATTATTGATTATCGTTCCGCATTTTCCATAATCTTGAACTGAATCTTGGCAATTTTTCGTGACTACTTCACGACCATGATACATGAATTTCTTAAATTGAACTTTTTGAGCCAAACACGTACACATATGATAAAATGAATGTCACCATCGTGTTCTACGCCCCAAATTACCTACAAAACATGTGTCACAGGCTGCGAATATCAGTTTTGATTTTCGGGGATATGTGCCTACCCGGTTGACCTGACCTTGACCCTGACCTATGCTTGACTGACCCCTACATGGAGCTGACACTCTTGTAGGCCTTATAAGATGGATTATGCACCGTTTTGACAGAGTTTATGGCGAGAGGCGCCCATTGCGAAGTCCTGAAGTCCATGCTACTGAAAGCCCGATTTCAGGTGTTTGACCTGACCTAGACCCGACCTGTGACCTCAAAATTCAACTTTAAAGTACTCATATGAAGCGCCTTGTCGCGCTCTTTCGTTTGCCGCCTCGTGCGTTTCGCTGCGCCTATTGGTTCTCGAGTTATCGGCTGGGGGCGTTTAACCCGCGCCCCGCTGGGGGGGGGCAGAATCTGCCCCCCCTCCCGTTTTTCGCCAATAACTTCTAAACGCGTTACGCCAACGACGCCAAACTTTCAGTACCTTATCATACATCAATTTGACACGTTCCCTAAAAATTTTAACGAAATCCGTCAGAATTTTTTTGAGAAATTGACGTTTTAGTGACGTCATGTTCGCCATTTTCGCCTCAAAAACGGCAAAATTTCAAACGCCGCTAACATCTTCATTTTTAAAGGAATCAAAACGTAACAAAAAAGGTTATACGTGATTCTACTTTGTCTATCAAATGGCTATCTCGGTTTTTTGAAAAATTTTGGATTTTGGCCAAAATTTTTTCCAAAAAAATGACTTTTTTTGGAAAATATTTATAAAATCCAAAATTTTGAGTTTATAAAAAAACGGAATATATGTCAAAGAAGTGGTCTATGTGCACCTACATACCAATTTTTAGAAGAATCGGTTCAAAAATGTGGTAGTTATTCAAAATTTTATGACGTCACGACACACAAAAATTTTGAAAAATGATTTTTTTGGTAGTTCTAGACCTCGTACGGAAACAGAAATAGCACCATTCGATTCGCCGTGAAAAACTGCATCGGATAGACACCTTTTTAGGCCTTAACAACCAACTTCAAAATTTGACCTCACTTGACCTGACCTTGACCTGACCTCGACCTGAAATTCATCCAGAGGTGGTCCATATCACTTATTGAGTGTGCCTATTGAATTCCATGAGTAAAATGACTCATAAAACATGTGTCGCACATGCCCTTTTCTATATTTTGTTTTTGGTGACCTGACCTGACCTGACCTGACCTTGACCTTGACCTTTGAATGCCATTGTGTGCAACGAATATTGTCTTGGTAGTCTAAGAACACGTTTTGGGCAATCAGTCTCAGTCCATTCTTCGGCAACTACGGTGCAAGGCCGATACTGTAGAAACTTGCATTTTGTACCCTTGACCTGACCTTGACCTGACCTCTGACCTACTTAACCCGGCCGGGCCCGGGGGGTAATCCCAACCACCGCAGCCCGGGGGGGGCGTTTTTCGCCCCCCCTGTCTAACTCCGTAAAAAAGGGAGCTACGGAAACAAAAGCGATACCAAACGAAAGGTCCTTACGAGACGATTCTAAAGCACCTAAAATTTTTGACCTCAGGTCAATTTTCAAGGTCAGAGGTCAAGGTCAAAGGCAAAAACCGGCACTTGTGTAGTGATCTCAAAGTAAGCCTTCTAGAGGACGGCAGGCTGCATCAAACCGGCAAAATTGGGTGTCAAACGAAAGAAGAGAATCTGAGGATTCCGAAACTGTGCTCAAAATCAAAGGTCAAGGTCAAGGTCACGCTCAAAATTGACCTCAAACTTGGCACTTTTTCGTACATCTTGCGTGCTAACCTCCAAGATGTTTTGAAATGTTTTGAGGCTTATCAGTTCCCTATTTGTGGTTCATCTTACAAGACAAGGCTGCTCAAAGGTCAAGGTCACAGAACAGTATCCCTGCTAGAGGCTATTTCACTAATTCAAGCTAGTAAGGGTGTCCCAGAAGTCTTGAAGCTTTTTTTATTTTTGTCGTGTGACCTTGCTATGCCACTGATTAAGGCAAATGACGCCTCAAACGAAAGAGAATGAACTGAACTTTTGTATTTTCATGCGTAGAGCACCACTTTAGTTAGGTGGCCCCCGTTGTGAGTCGCGCAAGATTGAGCACGAGAGATCACGTTCTTCGCTGCCGCCAAGATCTCCCGGTTTGCGAAACACCGGTGTCGCCATGCCCGTTTCTGGTCAGCTTCAGAGCCTTATTTCATGAAGCAAGCCAGGAAACAGAGTATTGGATCTCGGAGAAAACATTAGCAACATAATGATTTACTGATCAGAAAGTCTCCTGACATGTTTGCACGCATCCATTACAAAAATAAGGCTCAGCTGCTTGAGCGCGCTAAGCAACAGCCCGTTGTAATCCTTTGATTCGTTGCATTATTATGGGGCTAAAACAAATATCAACCCGTCGCAAATATATGTCGCTAATATTATGTCGCTCGCTTCAGGGAATAAGACTCTGAAGCTGACAAGAAACGGGCATGGCGACACCGGTGTTTCGCAAACCGGGAGATCTTGGCGGCAGCGAAGAACGTGATCTCTCGTGCTCAATCTTGTGCGACTCACAACGGGGGCCACCTGACTAATGTGGTGCTCTACGCATGAAAATACAAAATTTCAGTTCATTCTCTTTCGTTTGAGGCATGATTCGCCTTAACCCTATTCCTGGCGGGGGGGGGGGCCTCAGGAGCCCCCCCCCCTGAGGTTTTTTGGTTATTTCTCCCAAACGCGTTGAGCTAGGAAGCTCAAATTTTCTGACTTTTCCTATAAGGCTTCTACGCAACATGTCTGAAAATTTTGAGTTGATCTGACCTCAGGTCAGGTCACCAGAGGTGGTTTGGTGACCCTACCTCAGAAAAGTTTGCAATCACGCCAGAGCTAGAGTTTTTGACCGATCGATTTCTTCTCTTCAGGCTTTAGTTAGGGTACCAGTATGTGCAATTTGTATATCTCGGAATTTTGATATCGGTGACCTAAGGTCAGGTCAGTTTCGCGACCTCCCCATTATAAGTCAATGGGGGAAAAATCAACTCCCTGTTTTTACCACTAAAACGGGTCGGAAGGGCCCCATATACCATACATGACTTCATATACGATCAACCTTCACTACCTTGAGGTCTGTTTTGCTGTTGGGCAGCTTTGAGGTCATGTGACGTCATCAAAGGTCACCAAAGGTTTTTGGGCAATAACTCCGTACAGGAACAAGATACAGATGCGTGGATGGTCTCAATGTGTTCAGCTCGTCAAGACGCATCGAATGATATACATGATGACCTCGAGGTCACGTGACCTGAGGTCAACCTTTGACCTTGACCTTTCGAGGTCAACATATATATCATTCGATGCGGATTGACGAGAGGATCACGATGATGCCCTTAGTTTGTTCCTATCTTGACTAATTCGAAAGTTATTCGAGAAAAACTCTCTCCATATCTAGCGCCGCCATTTTGACTTTTTCGACCCCTGTGACGTCATCTTTGACCTGACCTGAAAATGACCTTCGTAAAAATTGTAGACCTTGTCCATGCGTATCCGATGCCGTTTACCGCTTGTCGCTATCTTGCTTCGTTCTCGAGATCTCAGGGGGGG